AGACTAATATCAAATTAATAATTTGTTTATCTACTATAATAGTGTTTGATATTTTCACCACTTTTCCTGGGAAGCGATTTGTATAACATTGAGTGTGATTCTTGGGGTTTCTATAGCATTGCGAAATTGATCTAAACTTCGTGAATCATCACGAGACCTTACTTCGTCATCTCGTCCTGAACTTGCGTGAACTATTTTTCCACTGGGCATTAAGTAAACAACAACCGATTTCATGGTCATCTTTATGGACATGTATGTAGAAGGGAAAAATAAAATTTAAATCTTAGCATTCAATGTTTGTTTAAAAGTAAAAGGCAGAAGATACAAAAGGGACATAACACTACAGGGAGATAACTCAGCTGAACGTTTTAATCACGTTCTATTGTTAAGGAAATATTAAGCTTCTCAATGATCAAAATTAGTGTTTGCTAAACTGCCATATATCCAATGAAGTTTTTCCATAAAGTGTGTGGTTCAAGTTTTTTGAAATTTTTATATTTTTGTCAAAGGGTCAAAGTAAATATTTTGTCAAAATTTTATGAAAATTAAACGAGCGAAATTAATTTTAGTCAAGGTGTTTTGTGCCATCTTAAAAATCATAAGTCGAGGAAAACCTATGATACCATGGCAAAGAAACGACCAACAGACAAACATCACTCTACAAAACACTACATAGAAAACTGTAGACTGAACCCAGCCAAAAAAAAGGGGGATAACTCAAGCGATCTGGAAGGGTAAGCAGATCCTGTTCCACGTGTGGCACTCGTCATGTTACTTATGACAAGTACAAATTCGATGAAAAGTCTCATTCGCTAATGTCACAATCGAGGAATAGAGGACGCTCAAAGTCATGTAATTTAAGGGTACACATGTAATCCGGTACTTTCAAAGACGAGGATAAAATCACATATCATCGTATATTTTTTATTTCGTTATAACATCAATTTATCACCCATGTCAGTATTAAATCAAGTTCCCTAATGTTAAACGCAAATGGGGCCATTAAAATTTGAAATTAATATACTGGTGGTGATTATGATTCAAATTTATTTCCTTAATGGATGCTTGCTGAAATTAGAAAAGCAGGTAGACTAAATGTTCATTATTAATGAAAAATGCCTCCGTGGGCTGTCCATAACCGGATCTAGAGTGCGGATTATTACTTAGTATCATGTCGAGTGCGCATTGATATTGAAGGAGATTTTTTAATATATGTAACTAAAATATGGATATGGCGTATTAATTTTGATAACATCGTTTTTTAAACAAAATACGGAATCTCATTTATCGGTCTAATTGGTGTATTAGCATAATCACTCCATAAAATTATACATTAATATTACCAATATATGTCACGTTTGGGTGATATTTGTAAATTGGAGAGTTCTTAAAGAAATCCTCCTTTTCAAAAGATAGATTTCGTGGTTTAAAAAACTTTTTTTTCGAAATGAATAATATCTCAACAGTAATCAAATCTTTTCTAATTATAAAATCGAAGACCATACATTTTTTTTTATTATGACAGGAGTATCTTTTATCATTAAATAATGAATTTGAAAAGTTTTCTCCACAAAGTCGTGTTAGAAGACTTTTCTAAACAACAATTGTTTGCTGGAAATACTATCCCCTCTGTATAGCTTAGTCCCTATAATTGTATGCTGTATAGATTCATCCGATGGATATACTTGTTATTGGATTTCTCATTAAAGTACTTAAAAATCTTACTGATACCTGGAGTCGTGCAGATCTCGTGATAAAAAGTATCAAAGATGTTTTTAATACAAATGATCTTTACAACTTTTCGATATTTGTTCTAGTCAATAGTCATATTCTATATACTGAACTGGTGCTCGGTCAAGGTTTTCAAAATCTATTAGAACTGGTATCTTGATTAGAAAAAGCTCAACTTAAAAATACAGTTTATATTTTTTTTTATATTTTTAGCAATAATAAGTTGAAATTGGTAATCGTAAAAAAATCGTTCTGCCCAATGTCGTCTTGTCGGGTTATACAGACATGCGCCTTTCAACACTGTGAGACTACAAAATTACTACAAGTAAGCTTGTTCGCAAACTACATTGAATTTTTTGCTTTGTCGAATCTCTTGCACAGCAACAATAAAATAAAGCATCCTTTGATTTTAAGTCTGATATCAGTTGTCAGTGAACTCTGCGTGTGCTTTGTAAAGAAGCTCGCCCTCTATATTGTAATAAAACCTATACCAGTATTTTGGACACTTTAGGTTAACTGTTCTGCACGTTACTGTAAGCTATGATTAAAGTTTCCGCTATTCTTCATCCAGCACGTTTGTCTTGCACACCGGAAGTTGAGATTCCTTTCGTATCACTTACTTTCATGTAGTTAGGAGGTCAATGACAAAGGGTTGAAAGCTGAAATGAAACTTTATATATCCCAATAGCATGAGTTCGAATCCCGGCGAGGGAAGAACAAAAATTTGCTTCCGCAAATTTGAAGATTTAACATTGTTGTGCTGATATTTAGAGTAATTATATATATAATGTTAAATCTGCAAATTTGCGGAAGCAAATTTTTGTTCTTCCCTCGCAGGAATTCGAACTCATGCTATTTGGATATCGAGACAACACCGCCTGCACTGTGTCCAGCGCTCTAGACCACGCGGCCACCTAGACTGAACTTAATATATATATATATATATATCCGATGGATAAAATCTGTTGTAGAGTCACTGGTTCAGACGTACTTATAATATAAAAATGTCTGTGATTGCATCTTACATTAATTTGTAGGATCCTTTACAATAGATAATTCATCTGATCTGTAACAATTCCATCTTCATGCCTTCGATATCATGTACTGTGTTACGACGCTAGATTAAAACTGACGAGGAAAGGTAACACCCGGCCACCGAAAGCTTTATTATTGTAGAGCCTAGGTGGTCTAGTGGTCTAGCGCGTCGGGCACAGTGCAAGGCGATTTGGTGCCACGATATCTCAGTAGCATGAGTTCGAATCCCGCCCAGGGAAGAACAAAAAAAATTTGCTAACGCAAATTTACAGATCTAACATTGTTGGGCTGTTATTTAGACGAATTATATATATATATATATATATATATATATATATAAAATGACTGAATAATAGCCAACGATAAATCTTACGGGGCGATGGATATATATATATATGAAAATTCAAAGATGTTTTCGTTGATAAAGCAAAGACAAATTCTAATTCGATCTTCTGAGCAGAGCTTGTTATACAAATATTCGCATTTTATTAAGTTTTCGGATATCATCTTTAACCCCCTCCCTCCGAAAAAATACCACTAAAAACAAACGGAGGACTGGTTATACATTATATACAAGTTTAGTTTGAGAGTTCCGGATGAAGATAAGTAAGGTAAGCGTTCGGATGCACCAAATTCATCAAGTGTTATTTTCATATTTTACTGTCAGATAAAATGCTTAGGCGTCATGCAATGATTTTATGACCATGCAGTATCATATATAGGACAATTGCCAAGTTTCTCGATAATACCAAACATGGAGAGGATTAAATTTAGTTTTCAGCAATGATAACAACGAGAAGGATTGTTCGTTTGCAGATTATAGCGTGTCCGAGATGTTATATGATTAATGACAAGTTTTTAAAATCTTTTTAAACAAATATAAGTTTATTCCATTCAATGAGAAGGTCGTTTTGTGACAATGCCAATGAAATTTTAAACTTCCCTAGTATATCAGATGTACTTTGTGTGTTTGTCAAAAGTGTAACTTCAATAATAGATCCGTTGACACTAAAAATGACATTAAAGATAAGATACAATTGAAAATTTGCCAACATGTGATACAATTTCAAATTTTGAATTTGCCGATGGTGTCTCCATCTATGTTCCTTTCCATTAACCCGTAGACACATAGTTTTTTTATATTATTGTCTCGTGCCGTCAAGGCAAATTATGTTGTGTTTTTGTTTAATAATCTGTAAAGGGTTAGGTATAAGGTCTTATTGTTACAATTTTTTTAAGTGGATTGAAGCATCGCATTTTTGTATAGACACATAAGGTGAAGGGTGAAGGTTTGGTGCCATTAAAACGTTTAAACCCTCTGCATTTGTTTGCACCTGTCCTAAGTCAGGAATCTGATGTTCAGTAGTTGTCGTTTGTTGATGTAGTTCATAAGTGTTTCTCGTTTCTCGTTTTTTATATAGATTAGACCGTTGGTTTTCCCGTTTGAATGGGTTTACACTAGTAATTTTGGGGGCCCTTTATAGCTTACTGTTCGGTGTGAGTCAAGGCTCCGTGTTGAAGACCGTACTTTGACCTATAATGGTTTACTTTTTTAAATTTTACTTGGATGGAGAGTTGTCTCATTGGCACTCTTACCACATCTTCTTATATCTACATAGAATATAATCGAATTCATAAGTTTTTTTAAAGGTGAAGCTAGTAACCCTGTGGATATACTAATATATATCCACTGTAACAATTGTCTTTTAAATATTTAGTAACTTACCAACACAGAAATTGGACGAACAAATGATTTGTCGTGGAATTCTAATCAGTAATCGGGTCTATAAAGCCATAAGTTGAAACAGACATTTCACGGAAAGGTCGAAACGAACAGAGACTTCTTATATACCAATTTGAATCGGAGTTTCAAAAGACCAGATTAGTATTTTGTACTATACTGTAGCTCTGAATGATTCTTGTTATTGATGCAGGCTATATGATTAAGATATAGCTTGTAGCTTTCTTTTGTCTCGGCTCTTATGTCTTTCATTCCTCCACTTATCTCTTTTTCTGCGTGTCTTCTGTTATCATGCTATCTCCATACCTACATATTCATGGGACCAATATGCACGTGCACTTTGTTTTAAAAAGGAAAGTGCAATATTTAGAATTATGCTTCGACCTTAAGATGCTCTTTGATTTGCGTATTATTATATATATTATGTGCACAACCCCTTTTCTTTTTTTTACAAACGATCTTTCTTATTTGTAGGAATTCAATTTTGAACAAATCAAACTGGCAAGTTTATATTTAGTAACTAATCCAATTGTAAAATTCAAGATTTAAATAATTAGTCAGAAATCCAAACTAAATACAATTCTCTGGCACTCAAACATTGGCCAAACTCGGTGTCCTTTCTTTTGTTACTCAAATGACAGTGAGATACTATTAACATGTGGATAGTCCTTTGTATAAGTGATATTTGACCAGTCTTAGTCAATATTTGCAACTCTGGTAATTTAACTAACACAATATTGGTTCTATCAAGTCTGCATTAAGTCTTCTCGGCCAGACATCGTCAACCAACACTTGAAATAGAGATAGTAAATAGCAATTATTTACTTATAGTAATAAATTTTAGTTAAATGTACTGTCATTGAAAACTAAAATCAATTTTAATAATAGCAACTGAAGTAAATAAATGGAGATAAGTTGGCTTATACTTTATATATTTATCTGAAATGACTTGATTTATTGTGAATATTATTAATTTTCTATACGATTCTCCTTCTTTTCAATTTTTTTCTTTTGAAATTTTTAATTTTTATACTGTGAGTTAATAGTATTAGTAAATTTAAAAGACCCCGCATCTATATATCTATTAAAGAAGAATGATGAAAACGTGATTCACTGATGAGAATTTATCCGAATAGTTTCGAGTACATACAACCTTAATAATCCAGTTGTTATTTCCCGGTCAATTCGATCACTCTCATATATAAGCGCTCAGTCGATTCAAAGGAAAATACAAATTGCATTCGCCAACGAATTTAGTCTTCTACGTATTGGAATTTTTTATACGAAACAAGGAAGAAAACATCACGTACATTTTATACTAAAAAGTGTAACAACTTATTAAAGAATAAGAACATTTTTGTTTAGGGGCCAGCTAAAGCCCGCTTCCGGGTGCGGGATTTTCTCCTGTGTTGAAGACCCGTTGGTGGCCTTGGGCTGTTTTCTGCTATTTAGTCGGGTTGTTGTCTCTTTGACACATTCCCCATTTCCATTCTCAACTTAACTAGTAACATAATAAATAACCATTGTTAGGCCAGCCTTGGACACTATCCAGTCAACAAATACTTGAGATATTTTCACTTTTTATGGCCAAGGACCTAATCCAAAATAAAAAAAAACTAAGAAGGCTGAGTTTTCCAATAAACTTCGTCTACAAGTAAGTTTTTAAGAAAAAAGTTCAAGACATCCGTTAGTAAGAAAAGTCGTGATCCATATATATTTTTATGCAGTACACAATACATATACACCTTTTCCTCACCTTCCCAATAAAAGTCGAATGATTGCTCCTCCAAAAAGATTACACGGACCTTGCGAGGGCTGTATAGCCAGTCAAGGTCGTTAAAAGCTTCCATCATCATCCTAAAAGATAGAATTGACCATTTTATTTTATACAAAGAAGCGTATTTTACACAGTAAAATAGAGCGTTCTAATGAAATACACGAGGGTCTGCATGATTGGACTTACTTTAAAAAAAAAGATGGATAAACAAATAGATAATAATGGGCCAAAAATACGACAAAAAGCAAATAATAAGAGTGCTTAAATATATGTACAAAGAAAAGAGGAAAACGACCTAAAAATTAAAGACCCCCCCCCCCCCAAAAAAAAAAACAAAAAAAAAACAAGACCCTCGTACATGTATATTATATTATTTTGAAATGTACAGTAATGTATATCAGAAAACATTTATTAACATAGTTCTGTCAATCTCATCTCCCAAGTGCACTGTACTTGACTTCAGGGTATCTTAATACAAAAATAGGATATTCCTATAAAGATATTAGCTTTAATAAGTATCTTGTTCAACATTAATCTCAATTCTAAGGTGGTATCGTGTAAGGTTTTGACGTAATACGAACACTTGTTTAATACCCAAGTTGGAATTAATCACATATGATATTAAAACGACCACCATTCATCATACAAACACACATATAAAACCATATATATCAAAATTATTACGCATAACAATAAATTGCGTAAAGTAGTTTTTATATTTGCGGTCAATTACTTTTTTTGAAATTAATTATTCCGTTGAATAATAATATCCATGGAGAAACAAGACGGTCAGTGGGCGAAAGGGATTTGGTACATGAGGAAGAGAATGGGGTAAAAGCAATGCGACGACGAAAGGGGGTTTAAACGACCTTGGCTAACCATGAGGGTCTTGCACATCGAACGATTCATGTGATTTATATGGGGCAAAAAAAATATGCAATGACAACACTAAAGGAAAGTATTAAATATACATTGATATATTTTACCAATAATAAGTGCCCCTTTTAAATCACTTGAAGGTCATCTAGAAAATTGACAAAATACATCACATATATTCATAAAATTGAGAGTGGAAACGGGGAATGTGTCAAAGAGACAACAACCCGACCAAAGAGCAGAAAACAGCCCAAGGCCACCAATGGGTCTTCAACACAGCGAGAAACAAAGGCCAGAGGTTCCTGACTTGGGACAGGCGTAAAAAATGCGGCGGGGTTAAACATGTTTAGTGAGATCTCAACCCTCCCCCTATACCTCTAGTTATAATGTTTAGTTTGGAAAACATTTGTTCCACAATATTTGTTCATTTACTGATTTGCGAAAATCTAACGTTCAGCAACCAATGTCATGTACTGATTTAAAAGAATTTGACCACCTTTGAGGTTTTTTTTCTTCATTTTTGCTTAACGTCCAGCGGCAAATACTACATGTATTTTCATAATGAGAACACGTGTACAATGTAAATTTAGATGATCTTAAATATGTGTTACTAGCGGGGACTGGAAAACATAGACTTCGGCTTGAAAACGATGAGAACAAAATGTTACAAATGGACCCATGAAAGAGTAACAAGTACGACCCGAGTTCATTATGTGCTAAGTACATGGCATTTTTCTAAAGGTGTCTTGGATACAACGTCGCCATCAACTGGGACCCCCCCCCCCTTTTCCGCAGTTTGTCATCTTTCCCAATTATATACAAGTAGTATAAGTCGGATAGATGACAAATATCAACATTGTCGTCTGAAGTTTGATATTAATGTCGTCTTCCGTAACAAGTTTCCTACCCATGATTAATACCGATTTGACTTCTATTACTTTGCTATCGTCCTAATTGTGTGAAATACTACGAAAATCAACCAATCATTAAATTTTCTGTATATGCGATTTAGCACCAACGAACGCGAGATATGTATCACTTTCCAAGATTACAACTAACGATTTCCAGATCAAAATGCGGATGTTTTTTTGCAATACTATGGAATTTCCAGGATTTCAAGTTAGAAGAGGCACTTCCCGTTAAGTAAAGGATGGAAAGGTGTCCTTTAAATTCTTCAAGACATATTTAATAGATATAGGAAGATGTGGTATGAGTGCCAATGAGACAGCTCTCCATCCAAGTAACAATTTATAAAAGTAAACCATTATAGGTCAAGGCACGGCCTTCAACACGGAGCATTGGCTCACACCGAACAGCAAGCTATAAAGGACCCCAAAAATTACTAGTGTAAAACCATTCAAACGGGAAAACCAACGGTCTAATCTATATAAAAACGAGAAACGAGAAACACGTATGAACTATACATAAACAGACGACAACTATTGTACATCAGATTCCTGACTTATATAGGACAGGTGCAAACATTTGCAGCGGGATTAAACGTTTTAATGGTACCAAACCTTTTCCCTTTTTCTGAAACAATAGTATAACATCACAACATAGAAAGACACACTATAAAATAAATTGATTTTGCAAATAGTTCATGGTTGTTGTAAAGAGCGATAACATACCAACACGAACTGTTTAATTGAAAGATGATGCACAATTTAAATAGACATGTCAGATGAAAAAGATAGTCATTTTTAAAGAATTTTTTTTCTCTGACATTAGTTTTGTCTAATTTTTAAAATAACGTGATAAAAAGATTAAAGAAATGAAAAACGTACGACACGATTTGAGTTTAGATAACTTGTTATAATTGCATTAAATTGTCATGAAAAATAAACCTTACACAATGCCTAGTCAATTTCTATATTAAAATATAAATTTTCTAGTTGTTTGGATTGAAAGAATTATGGAAAAACTGTCATCGATATGATAAATTATACGCGAGACAGACGGAAAATAAAACGTAATTCAGTTATTTTTGGATTATCCTTATTAAGTGAATTTGACGGATTGTAGAAAGTCTGTCATTATAACGCTAGTCACAATTTGACAATATAAGCACGTGTTATTGGGTATACAGATATTATCGTACAATGTACGTATTAAGTTTTAAATTACAGTCTAATATTGACATAAAATATTTGTATTTAAGTGAGGTTTTACACGTTACATTTCAATAACAGATAAATCACTATTACTTATTTCATTTCTAAATATATGCAATGTTGGTAAGCTCTTTTGAAATCCAAATCTCTCTTTTATCCAGGTCTTCCAATAAACCTCAGTTTCATTATTTCGAAAGCCATATAAACAATTGATATTGACTGTTTTTAAAATTAAATTGTCTTTGAAAAGTTGTTATTATTTTCAAGTCAGTTCGACCTGTAAGGGTCAAACCGACCCAATAACCTTTTGCAAGTGTCTATTCTATAGAACAAAGGTGCAACTGGTGCTTTTTTATGATTCCAAGGTCAAGGACATTTTAAACTGACAGGTGCGCGTTTAATTAATCAACAGTAAGATACAAAGATTTAAGTGTTGCATCACTGAATACACAGCTTTGTAAACAAAATGGTAAACAATTAGCTAAAATTACGAAAATGCAAACAATGTTAGTTTATAAAAACAAATTTTATTTAAATTTATGTAATCTTTAAATTTGGAATATAATAATAAAGGAATTTGGGCCATTTAACGACAAAAAATACAAAATTTGCATAAATACAATATTTTTAAAGTATTTTGTCTGTTTTAAGAACATACTATATATATATATATATAGATAGATCTAATTTCTAAAATGAATAATGTTAATAAAGAAATGCATATTTATACCCCGAGGGGTTGAAGGCATATGAATAATATAAATATATACACAATGCAAAAAAACATAAAAAGGTAAAATGATGAGCTCAATGAATTATAATTAGGGTAAAGCAAGGATCACATGATAAAGGTTTGGGACCTCCTTGTCCACTCAGATTTTAGATCCTTCTCCTAGGCCACTCAGATTTTAGATCTTTCTCCTGGTCCACTCAGATTTCAGATCCTTCTCCTGGTCAACTCAGATTTTAGATCCTTCTCCTAGGCCACTCAGATTTTAGATCTTTCTCCTGGTACAATCAGATTTCAGATTCTTCTCCTGGTCCACTCAGATTTAAGGTCCTTCTACTGGTCCACTCAGATTACAGATTCTTCTCCTGGTCTACTCAGATATCAGATTCTTCTCCTGCATGGTACAATCAGATTTCAGATTTTTTTCGCGTCCACTCAGATTTCAGATCCGTCTCCTGGTCCACTCAGATTTCATACCCTCCTCCTGGTCACTCAGATTTCAGATCCTTCTCCAGGTCCACTCAGATTTCATACCCTCCTCCTGGTCCACTCAGATTTCAGATCCGTCTCCTGGTCCACTCAGATTTCAGATCTGTCTCCTGGTCCACTCAGATTTCAGACCCTCCTCCTAGTCCATTCAGATTTCAGATTCTCCTCCTAGTCCACTCTGATTCCAGATTCTTCTCCTGATCCTTTCAGATTTCATTTCATTTTCAGCGTCCGTTCAGATTTCAGATCCTTCGAATGTATGATTGTTTCCTGGTTCCCGCCTTGTTTATGCTTGAAATATTTCCTGCTTAACGTTAAAGCAATCAATGTATCCTAAAGGTTTTTGTCGAGAATATAACGAAAAAAACAGTGAATAGATGAATCTTGGGAAAACCGTTAAGCCCCCCCCCCCTTTCCAAAGCAAAAACACAAAAACAAAACAAAACAAAAAAGATCATCTTTATGAATAATAAAGCATAAACCTAAAATCAAAAGAGACTTGCAAGACATATGGAATAGAATAGAAAATAATATTTTATTCACCAAAGAATGGCCCCAGGAGAGCATATATAACAAATACACAATAAGATGATAAAACTTTGCAGACCAACAATAAGTTTTTTATGAAAGACCTCATAAATAGTAAGTGACGTAAGGAGAAGTCTCTGAAAACATAAGTAAAAAAACAACACATTCAACTAGAAAGGTATACTGTAAAGTACTGATATACCAGAAAGGCACAGAATGACGAGCAGTAGCTAACACATCAAATTATGGAGAAGGAGAACCAGACTTGCACCCCTTGGAAATCTTAACATGACAGGCCTAGAATGTCGACTCCACCCACGCAGTGCCCATCGTTTGCCCTAAC